CCCTACTCACCGCCAGCAAACGACTCCTGGTCCCCACCACCGTCCGCATCACATCCCCCACTGGTGTTCCCAGCACCACTGTCCTCACCACCGCTGTCCCCACTGGTTCCACCACCGCCCCTACTGTCCCCACCAGTGGCCCCACCACTGTCGCACTGTCCCCGCTGTCCCCAGAACTGTTCCCACCACGGTTCCACTCTCCCCACTGTCTCCACGGCCCCAACCACTGCCCGACTATCCCCACTGTCCCCACTGTCCCACTGACTCCTCCGCTGTCCCACTGAGCTGTCCCACTGTTCCCACCACTGTCCCCACTGTCCCCACCACTGTCCCCACTGTACCTCTGTCCCATTGTCCCACCGCCGTCCTCGCCACCGCCTTCACCACTGTCCCCACCACCATTGTACCCTCCACTGTCCCACTGTTTCCACCTCGTTCCCATTGTCCCCACACCACTGTCCCCACCACCACCGTCACCACCACTGTCCACTGTCCCCCCCCTGTTCCCACCATTGTCCCCACCACTACCGTCCCCACCGCTGTCCCACTGTCCCACTGTCCCCACCACTGTCCCGCTATCCCCTCACCACTGTCCCCACCACTACCGTCCCCACCACTGTCCCACTGTCCCCCCACTGTCCCCACCACTGTCCCGCTGTCCCCTCACCACTGTCCCTACGGTACCGTCCCCACCACTGTCCGCACCCCCACTCGGTTTTCGAGGGGGGGGGGGGGGGGGGGGTTCGAACCGGTAGTGACCCCCCCCTTTTCATGATGAACTGGGGGGGGGGGGGAGGGGTTCGAACCGGTAGTGACCCCCCCGGTTTTCCGGAGGGGGGGGGGGGGGGAGGGGTTCGAACCGGTAGTGACCCCCCCCGGTTTTCCGCCAGCAGCGGTAGAACACGCTCTTTCATATACACACACACTAGAACGACGCGCGCGCTTCGCGCGCGCTTAGGTTCCAGCGAGCTCCAGTTGTAGTCTCAAAAGTTCGGCATCGGAGGATACAGATTGTCACAGGGATCGTGCACCTCAGGGAGTTCCACTTGAGGCCCCTCGGACAGGCTTGGCTGAGGGTCCCCCCGCCCATGCTGGCAGACCCCTCGCACGCATCGCGCCCCACAGGGAAACGCACTTCATTACGTCACGAGGGACGAGATTCGCACAGTGGCACACCCCTCACGCGGACCGTGCCCCGCAATTACCTGCATTCCCAGAGATCCGATGTCGTGATCTTTTCGATAACTTACGGGGTCCCCCGCAGTCTAGACCCATTCCCCAGGACCGGTTTTTCGTCCCGAATCGTTTTTTGACGGTCCCGGGGCCTGGCGAGGGCCCCCAGAGGCCAAAAATAAAGAAAAACCTCCGTCTTGTTTTTTTCAATGCGCTGGATCTCGGGTTTGCGGCACCAGAGCGGAGCTTCACAACATCGCCCCGCTCACTTCGGCACACTTCTCACGCGTCTCGGGGCCCGCCAAGACATCTACGGACGGCCCCTAACAAGGTTCGCATCCCGCCATCCCGCCTACTTCGGCACACCTCGCACACGGGTCGTGATTATGGCGCACAGGGATCTCCACCCACGGCCCCAGAGGCAGGGCTCGCACTGCGCCCCCCCTAGCCATTGCGGCAGACCCCATCACGTGGATCGTGCCCACAAGGAGCACCACCTAAAGGCCCGGACGTTTCGTACAACGCCCCCCCCCGCCCATTTTGGCACACAAGTCACGCGAATCATGCCCCAGAATAGGCATCATTGCATGGCGTCCCCGCGCCCATTTCAGAACATGCCTGGCACGGGGCGTGCCCAGAGGAGGTCCACCTGCGGCCTCAATGGGCGTGTTCGCGCGGCCCTTCACGCGGATAATGCCGCACAAGGAGGTTAGAGCACCCGTGCACGCGTGCCCCGCGGGAGCCATCTTTCCGCATTGCCCCGGCCTGTTTGGCTGTCTGAGAGCGTTCCTGGCCCGTCGGACGCTACTAGAAGTCGTCTTTGAAGCCTGTTTTCGCCGTCTTCGAGCCCGCTTGGAGCGCTTCGTGGCTGTTTTGGAGGCAATATCAGGCGTCTTGAATCCTCTTGGGCTGTCTTCGGGCCCTCCTGGGGCCGTCTTTGGAGCTTCTTGGGCCGTCACGGGGCTATCGTGGAGGCCTCTTGGGCGTTTTGGGGGCGATCTTGGGAGCCTCTTAGGCCATCTGGTTCGTCGCCAGGCCAAAAGGAAGATGCAAACATCATTCAAAAGCCAACGGGAAGTCTGTTACTTTAGCTTGTTCGGGTTTTCCCAAGTGATGTCTTGGAGGCGCCTTGGCCGCCTCGGAGGCTGCCTGGAGCTATCTGGATGCCGTATTGGGTCGTGTGGGGTACATCTCGGGGCCATCGTGGGCTCTCCAATTCGAGGAAAGGTCTACATGCACATGAAAATCGCACTGCAACGTGGCGAACAAAAAAATGTAGACGACCACTTGACCTCCGAGAATCATGAACACGACCGCTGTGGCGGAA